TGGAAAATTGGGAACAATTGATATTATTTATAGTCCAGGAAAGCTTATTAATTTGTATACAGAGGTGAACTCCCCAAACTTACCCCAACTATGTGTTTTCTTTTTTTTTTCCTTTCCTTTTCTTTTTTTTAAGACACACAGATCGGTGTGATGAGTGCAAAACTACATCACAAATGACCTTTTTAATTGCTCTTAATTGCTCTTGATATATGTGTACAGTCATAAAGAAACAAAAGTGTGTGTGTGTGTGTGTGTGTGTGTGTGTGTGTGTGATTTTAAACTAAAAACCCAAACCTCTCCCAGGCTGGGATCTGTTATGATATCAAAAGTGAATTTTTAAGCAGAATTATAAATCATTAAAATATGGAAACGCTGAGAACCTCTTAGGTACAGCTGAACATTCAGGTGCTGCCGTAATTTACACTATATACATGCTTTAAATTTGTGACATAAAGGACACACTTTTCATAATGCAGTAATTTTATGGTTTTATTAGACTGACTTATAGTAGGAAGAACTATTCAGAAATTGCAGCTTAAATGAGAAAATGGGAATAGTGTTAGTTATATAAAATACTACTGCAATAGTTCTTTTATTAATTTTTAATGCTCAGAACCCACTGTGACCTCCTTTATTCTTTTGCTGTCAACATGGCAGCCAGGAAAAATTGAAATGGGCTGACAGAAAGCCTAGTGAGTACTACAGCCCTAACACTGTGAATCTGCTCTCTCTCTCTCTCGCTCTGCATCCACCATCTGCATATCAATAATATTTTTATGCCTCGTTTGACAGTCACTATGAAATAATCATACAATAAGCAGATTTGTTATCCCTGCACTGTAGTTTAGAGGTGCCCTGAATAAGTTTTGGATGTTATTTAATTATCCAGTGCAACAGGCAATTTATCACAGTATATGATTTGCTCACATTAAAGTCAATTTTAAAAATACACAACCCATTGTCTTTGCCCAGTCTTTGTGTTCTCAAAGTGTAACACAACTACACGAAATACAGCATTTTTGTCTGCCCAATGTCCTCCAAATAAATGTTTTGGACCAATTCAGCAGTGCTTTACTTGAACAGTGAGATGCTATTATGTTATGTATATTTACTACTTTCTCTATCACCATGGAGACAAATCTTGACACCAGTACAGTCAAGAAGCTCACAGCATTGTCTTTGCAGGATTCAGTTCCTGTTGTCACAGTGACAGTGAGCACAAAGTCAACAGATTAATACATTAGTGAGTCTAAGCTCTGAATTAAAGTATAAAACTTTGTGTTGCCAGTTATAAAATCAAATCTTGACCCATCACATTGAAATATCATATACCCAAGTATAAATATTACAAAAGACCAGTATATAATAATGTGATATATTGTTTTTTTGTGGTGGTAAGAAAATAAAAAAATGTATGTGAAGTGAATTTCAGTGGTAGGAGATAGGGTCAGCCTACAACAAGCATACTGCATTTGGAATGTTTATATTTTCCCCCTTTCCAAACCCTTTCCTTGTCCTCTGTCTAACATGTGGCCTGACAATTCTGACAGAATGAAAAATTCTAAGAAAACTGAGGGTCATAAGAGAAGAGATTTGCCTCCTTCTCTTGTGACCCTATCGCAAGTATTCTGTTGCAGTGTTTTACCATTAAGGAAAGGATAATATAAGTGTCTTCACACTTAGTCTGTTCCACCGGTCATGACTATTTGAAACATTGACCATCAGTGAGATTTAAGGACTCAGATTTACTGCAGACATGATATTCTAGCCCACTACAAGGACCTCCCAATGTCTGTCAGCCTCCAAGGAAGCATTATGGATCAAAAAGGCAATGCTTACCAGACACACCGCCATATGTGGTCTTCTTTTCTCCACCAACTGCAGGCCAAGGTGTGCCATCTGCTTTTAGTCCCATCAGTCCTGACACTGTGTTTGTGGCTGTCACACCATCTGCACCACCTGTGAAATGAAATAACATTTTCTTTTTGTTAAACCATGTTCAAGGACAACAGAGGAAAACAAATACAGAAACAGTACAGTTGTTAAATATTTAGGCCCAGAGCCTCATCTGATGCCAAAGAGCACAATGCAAATCAGGAGTGAAAGGGAGCTTTAAAACCAATTTTGGGTTGCCTCATATTGAGCTATTCCCCTAGTAAAGTTAAGAGGCTGATATGTCGGTAGAGCACAGAAAATGCTAAGACAGCCTCTCTTATCCTTTGCTGTAAGATTTGCTACTGCTCTACAGCATTAAAGATTTCTCTATACTGAGATAATGCTCTCATGTTTTGTTATACTGACTAATGGGGAAGAAAGTGAGTAAGCATGTAACTTAGTCAATATTACATTCTGAAATAACACTGCGGCGGAATTTAGGATGTAATCGACGAAAGACTTTTTTCTTATGAAAAACAGTATATGGGTTTGCCATGAGATTGAACTGCAGTAAGCTAATAGAAAAACCCAAGCTCTTTGAAAACTGAAGGTAATCCAAAATGAACAGGAGGACTACCTCATTCTGGCCTGTATGCTGCGGAACATCTAAGAGCCAATGATGGAAATCCTGAACATCCTCCACTGGTATCTGGAAGACTTGGCAATGTGGATGTACGGAGGAGAGGGGATCATCTGCCTGGCTCAAAACACGGTGGGATATCATAATCTTCTCCATGAGGTGTTTTCTTAATCTCAGCTCAGGAGTTCATGATGGAAAGCATGACACGTGCCACACTTTGCAGTAACATTCATATCGCCAGACAGTAGAGACAACATTGATACTTGTCATTCACAGAAAAAGAGCAGAGAATAGAAAAACATTTCTTGAACTTTGGGACTCAGGGCACAGTCCCAGACTGTGAAGAGAAATTTCCTGGCACAGAGAACAAAAACTAATTATACTACCATATTTTCCGGCGTATAAGACAACTTTTTATACTAAAAAACATCCCCCAAAAATCCCAGACCATCCCAGACCAGGAAGACGCGGAGCAAAGCCACGGAGGGGCTCGGGCAGCGGGGCAGCCCAGGCGCGTCT